AGAGAGAGAGAGAGAGAGAGAGAGAGAGAGAGAGAGAGAGAGAGAGATCAATAATAGATCGGAATTTAATATCGTTTCTAAAACTTTCACGGTTTTAATTGACGATTAAAAATCTTTTCTGGATATATTTGCCCCAAATTTTTCTTTTTAAACATTTTTTTTTGTATTTCTGTTTGTCTTTTATTAAATCTTGATCTGAATCCGCGAGAAACTATCAAACTCTCGAAAATCTCTCAGCATATCGTAATCAGCAAGAAGATGGTGTATTAAATAAAATTCTAAAAAAAATTGTTTTATATCTGGAAATTTAAACCTTAAAAAATTATATCTTTGAAAGTCTTAGAAAAATATAATTGATGAAGAAAATAGCACTGATTAAAAAATTTCACGACACGCGATTTCAAAAGTTTCTAGAATTTTAAATCGGTGGATTTAAATCGCAAAAATTTAAAGCTCTATAAATCATTATCAGAATAATAATTGGACATGAGATAGCAAAAATTAAGTTCCGAGCATTACAGCTTCAGGAGTTTTATTTATTATAAATTCTCTTCCATTCTATACCGATATGAACAAAATTATGACTCTTGTAGCGAATACTAAACTTGCCGATCTGGATCACGAAAATTTGAGGCTTCAAAAATCGACGGAGTATCAATATATATAATTAGATACGGGATAAAAATCAGAATTCCGAACGTTGTAGCTTCAGGAACTTTATTTATTATTATTTAAATACTTCATTATCAACATGAATAAATAATATTGTCATAAAATGATAAAATCAACGTAGTCCATTGTACAAATATTCATTATTCAGCTAGGTATTGCGCACGCTCGGAGCATCACGCGCCTATATACATACATATTTACTCTGATATCGACGCGCTTGGACGTTACAGCTTAATTTAACGCTTTGTTTATTATCATGCCACGCGATAAGTTACGGGCGAACGAACGTGACAGGTTCTTTTAAAGATCTCGAAGGATCGGGAATCTTTCCGACGGCCGTCGGAAAGGCAACCGTCTTTGGTTGTTGCCACTCAACCTGCAGTTTCCCCCCATCCCTTCTCCTGGGTATCGCGCGATAACAACGACTGATACTGACTATTACTGACCGATGTCAGTAACTTGCAGTAACTCGCGTGCGTGCAACGTGTCTCGATCGATTTTGATCAAATGCCAAATGTGACAATCTAAGCTCATCTCTTTTCGTCGCGCGACATTCACATTCCGATGTCGGCCGTTCCTCGGCGGCTCGCTTTTGCTTGGGAATAAGGTTAGAGCGAGCCTCAGGTTGACGCCGTTGCGACGTAATAACGCGCGTTTCGGAGAAAGCGGCGGATTTGCTTTTCTCTGCGAGATGGGGACGAAGATTTGCCCCGGGATCTGATGGTTCTCCCTTTCGCGAATCGTACCAGAGCGGCCGCGCGCGATCACGAATCTCAGGCGTGTTTGATGTCAACGTAACATTTGTGGACGATGGACGGAGAGGATTCCGTGGACGTGGACGTGGACGTCGACGCGGATGTTGACGTAGACGTGGACGTGGACCCGCGGGAGCTGCACGAGACCCTCCAAACGTACAGGAAGCTCGCCGACGATTTTGCCAACCACGACACGATTCTGAAGGTGATTGCTCCGATTCCTATATCCCAGATAGACAAAGCTGTTGAAGATCTTGCGAAGCATACTGTAAATTTTGTCAGCAGAATGCCAGCGGAAGTGTATCAGAAACAGTTAACAGAATCTACTGGCAAATTACAGAAACTGAGTAGAATCTGCTGGCAAACTGCTGTCGTATTGCAAACCGTTTGGTTTACCGGGTATATATTATCGTTGGCTGATTGCTTGCTTTTGTTTGCAGGACAAGACGGTCTTATCGTACATAGCGTACGTCTTAGAAGTACCTGATGTAGATGTGGTTACCTTAGCTCTGGACATTCTGGAGATATTTGTTAAGAATGTAGACAATTATATACATATAACGTCCACCTTTGGCGTGCGCGAATCTCTGGACGCGATTATCAACAAGTACAGCTTGAGCGAACCAAAATTAGCCAGTCGGGCGCAGCACGTCAAAGATGACATAGAGCGTATGAAGCCGCCTATATATAACTTGCGCAGTCGTTGCAGGCGAGTTATAGAGCCCAAAAAGTTGAGGACACACGTAATAGTTTTACACGTTCAAGGTTTATTACCGGTAAGTGTTGGTTGTCTATTTCGGTTCATTGATATCATGCGTGAGAAAATAATGTAAGTAATTATTACATTGGAGAGTCTATAATAAGATAATCGAAATAATTAGGAAACTCGTGCCGAGCTGGAATCGATATTGATAAGAATCGAAGGTCTCGTTTCGCTTGTTGTCGACGTAGAGCATCAGCGTGTAACTATGCGCACCTTGAGTTACGTCACCGCGAAACAGATTGCGGAAGCGATTGAGAGACATGCGGATAACATGGAAGCGAGATTGGTTACGAGGAACAAATTTAATCAAGAATTCCTCGTGAAACTGGTAAGAATTGTCAACCTTTTAAATTAATTTATAGTCTGCTTTTACATGACAGACGTGTGTTTTAGATTTTAATGTAATTTTTGTTCATAAAGTTGAACACAATGTTTCACTTTAAATATGTGGATGTAATGACCTTTTTCAGATACAGGAAGGCGATACGGACAGCGAAGGATTGCCCGATTATTTACCCGAGGAAGAGGAAGAAGATGATAAGGAGGGAGTTGTGTCACTATTTACCGGTTTAAAACAAAGCGCTTCATCCCTATATAAATCTACCACCGAGTTTCTAAGTAGTTCGTTCTATTGGTAGAATTTCTAACTTCAACGGAGATTGTCGTAATTTGTGACTGTTGTAATTAGAATTTTATTTATTTGAAATTAATTGTTCATTTATCTGTTCAAAGAAAGGCTGGAAACAATTCGTGTGTGTGTGTGTAGATAGAGTACATTACCTCAATAGATATATATCAAAGAGAAAGACTTATGCTTTTTAGCAGTAATCATGATTAATTAAATCTCTAATTGTTTAAGAATTTCACACTCATTTAATACATTCATAAATAACAATGATTAAAGGGAGTAAAGTTAATTGACTTTTACGACGTACAGTAATACTTTGTACTCGTCGTCTGTCTCTCAATAGAAAATTAACATGTACAAACAGACTTCTGAGTTTTAATGTCTATATTTGTAAAAAGAAGACACGTATGTTTTACATGTATTTGTGTACAAAATTAACTTTATTTTTTGTACTTTAACAGCTATGCATGCTTTATCTTGTGACTTAATATATGTAAAGCAATTATGTACACATGCAAATTATATTACGATCTCAGAGACTTCTAATCGAATTTGACTATATTAACGTGTAAATACGTAAATTCCAATAAGTGCTACGTATGCACTAAAGATCTAATTACCAAATCTTATTCACGTAAATGAGATTTCGTTATAAAAGCTTCTAATGTAAAATGTTAGATTAGATGTAGATATTAAATGTATGTGATATGACTTTCAAGCCATAATACAGCTTTTGCAATCGAATAAAAATAAAACGAAAGAATTTTGATATTTAATTTTTCAATAATCGTTTTAAAAAAATCTTATAGAATCATTGAAAAAACATTTTGTAAACGATATTTAAAATACCCTTTCGAATCTTGTTATGTTCTATGTTTTTAGCTGCACACATAATAATCTCTACACACGACGCAATATATACTGTTTGGATTTGTACAAAGAACGAAATATAAAATGTTGTGTAAATCAACTTTATTTTATGTATAACACAAATTTTGTGTACTGCTTCTATTATTATATAATAATAGAACTAGTCAATTTTTTAGCTGCCACTGCACAAAAAGGAACAATTTATGCAACTACTCGCATAAGTATGATGGATACAATACGTATGATTACTACAAAGTACATCTCTCTCTATTTATATGCCTCGTAAATTATTTCGTTCAGATGAGCACATCAAAATCGTTATCCTATCTTATCTTTTACGCTTATTCGCTAAGTTCCCGTTGTATTGTCTATATTTACAGATACAGATGTATATAATTGTCATTAAGGCAATTTGAGTTTCAAAGCAGGTACAATAGATGGATGCAAAACATCGTTTTTTTTCCTGTAATCGAGTAAACGAAATAGTTCGTAGACGTGCGTGTGGAACAGAGAGATAGAACTTACAATAATTATTAGTACCAGTAATTCGCGGAATGAGTATGGGGTTCGCGTGCAGTCCAGTGCTATTGTTGAGCTTCGCTTTTGAAACTCGCGTAACCAGCACCGCGTTTGACTATTTCGCGCAATACAACTCATTTCTTAAACTATACATTAAATGCTTAGGCTGAAATCAATAAGTACATAGTCACTAAAGACCTACGCTCTCTGACTCTTGTTGGCTGTGAAGTAAAAAAAAAAAAAAAGAATTAAGTTTCTTACGTATGAGCGTATGTCTTGGAAAATATACATACGACAGTACAATGTACCCTCCTATTGTAAATATAGTAGCTTCTGAGGGAGTTTCGCATTTTTGTATTTTTCCTCTCTTACTTTTCGATTTTCGCCTAACATCTTCGTATTCCATAATATATTGCAAATATAAAAGATCGTACAGGTACAACAATATCTTTCAATACATGCTTCAAAGACTAAATTGCGTATTATTATCAATTCTCTAACTTTCACTAGACACCTCGGTCGATGCATGCAAATTGCCATAGGCACTTATGTCATAATAAAATTCATTATCGTTACGTTGTACATTTCTATTCTGTTTCGAGAGGTTTATTAAATTCTTTTTTCTTTTTCTTTAAGACAATGCATTTAAACTGTGCATATACATAATATCATCAGCTAGATGCTTTCATAACTATGAAGGCATCTCACTATTTACAGCTGCCTTTTCATTTCGTCAAATATAAACACATACATAAGCAGTGAAATACGTGAATTTCCAAAGTTGTTGACTGCCTGCATTTTTTCAATGAAAACTTATTTCTATGGCAATGGGTATGCACAGTTTGAAATTAGATTTGTGATTTAGTACATTTGCGTATTCGGAAAGAACTGCGAATCCGAAATATTAGATGCCATGGAAGAAATAAATACATGATTCTTCTTATCTGCGAAGTACACCGAGCAGTATGTAGCTTAACATTTACTAATGGCGATTATTACAGTGAAGTAAATGAGTATTAAGCATAAAAATGCTCGATGTACTTATGCGATTGCGGATAATAATAATATAGCCACTGCATCTGCAAATAATATCCTTCGAAGCAGTATCTAGATTTGTTGAACGAGAAGAATTACGCTATACACTCTATACTCATGTTCTCATGTTATATATGCTGCGTAAAAAATGTTGCGTAATAAACTCAAATAAACTTGAGCAATATTAATCTGACTTTTTAGCAATCTATATATGCAACTGATTAAACAATGATTAAGAATGTCTTCGAAAATTGTTTGGCTTTAATAAATAATCAATCAGGATATAAAGTCTCGAATTCTTGAATTATTTGCTTACCGAATCATTTGTTTTCTAAATAATATTACATACTCTTTAATACATGTATGTATACATGTTTATATGTATATGGAGATGTATATGAATGCAAGTATATATGTATATATGTCATTATGTATGTGTATGTATACATATATGAATAGACAAATATCTACAATATTCAACATAAGTTACAGAATGAAGAATGACGTGATTACTGACATTCACTCAGGCAGTAAATCTAACTTATAAACCGATCATAAATCAGATATAAAAATTACACTAACAACTAATCTATATTCGGCTCTCCATCTTCATAGATCCACTAGCCGGTTGAGATGCAATTGTAACTTCACTGACTTCGTCCGTTTCCGATTGACTCGATGTATCAGAAACGTCGTCTATTTCCTTTCTCTGAGTTTAAATTAAATGTACACGTTAATTTCACAATTTTTTAAGAAATATGTTGTTTATAAATATTTTTTACCACCCGCGAAAAACTAAACAAATTAGAAAAAAATTATGAAAAACCCACTTCAAAACGGCTTAATACAGTCACTTATATTTTCTCTTCAATATTGCAATATATTAATTTGTAAATGTAAAGTTCACTTACTATCATGTATAATAACATTCGTATGTGAAATATATTTTATTTTCTGCAAAATATAATTTGTATTGTTTTTCGCATGTGGTTATTCGTTTGTAACAATGCACGTTAATGTAATGTAAATCTGTTTATATTTTCTTACTAAAATAATATATAATAGTATATAATCATACAATTGTTTATTAGAATTTATTCATGTAAAACTAAAATATATTATTCAATTTACTCACTTTTTGGGAATGATGTATATTACGAAGAACTCTTTGAACATCCGGATTACTTTCTAAGGTGGAAGTCTGACTGGACGGAGGATGCGAATATTCAGAAGTATTTTCCTCATCAGAAGCTAATGCCCCCTGTATTCTCCCGGATATTGTTAGTTTAGATCTTCGTAATCTGCATCCGGGACCGATCGGCCTTCTTGCGATACTAATATATTGGAGGGAATATATATTATTATATATTAAGTCATATTTTCAATATGACTCAATCATGTATTGCTAGAAGCGAAAATTTAAATAGCTGTTGAAATGCTTGTAAAATAAACAAATCTGTCAAAAGTTTTTCGCAAAATAATACTTATACCATAAAATTTTACAGCAATAATCTAATTTATTTTCTAAAAAATTAAAAAGGTTGTTTGATAAATTCCTATTTAAATTAATTTTTTTAACTTTAAAATGTGTATTTAAAAAAAAATTTTGTTTAAAATAAGAATTAGCTGAATTAGTCCACTATTGACAATATTTTAATACGGCTGTAGAATGTGAAGTTGAATTCACTATCGACTAAAATATACCTTCTTCGTCTTAAGGAATAGTTATAAGTATAACTTGGATCCTCTCCCTCTTCATCCGACCAGCTTTCTTCACAAGCATCGTCTTCGCGATCATCCGTATTGTCCGAAGAAGCTCGTATTTTATCGGATTGTTCCACATAGTGCCCAGATAATTTAACCGAATCTTCTTTATTTCTACTGTAATGTTCGATTAATTTAATAAATACTGAATATATAATAAAAATAAATTACATTTTCGCGAATATTATTATGCAATACCTATGAGAGATTATGACATCATCGCCATTTCCATTGTCAATGATAAGACGATTCGCATTAATAATTTCGCTGACTTTTCTGCCGAGAGTCTCAAGATTGTCGTCGTCGCTACAATCCCTCAAACGTTCGTTTCCATTGGAATTATTTTCATCTAAGTTCTCGGGGCTGGAGCACGAACTCGTTTGCATAGGATAATGCGTTTCCGGCAAAATTGGATTTCCGTTTAAGCATTCTGTTGTTTGCTTATGCAATGAATGTCTTCTGACGAGGTCCAAGGAGGATTTCTCCGGTAAAGAATGTGCTATATTTGCTACCGAGGTGTGATCCGATTCACTGATGTCTGCGGTGTCCGTTTGTGTGTGACTATCAACGAGTCTTCCAGGTATTTCTGTACTCTATAAATTAAGAACCATACCATATACAACATACATTGAGAATTTCTTAAGAGGTGTAATGTAAATTAATTCATCATGAAATTAAGAGTCTCAATATTCTTACAAAAAGGATATATTCTTTCAAAAAATTCTTTTATTTGAATTCAAGGAATTAATCAGGAGCACAAGATATTGAAAGGGTTGACAGAAAACGATCAAAATTATCTTTAATATTTTCTCTTTAATTATATTTAGATTTTCACCTTTCTTTCACGATGAGGACTCGATCTAGGACTGGAACTTAGACCACAACCCGAACCGACCCTACGATGCCTGTATTTACGCTGTTTGAAGCTATTGCTTGGTGCTAAAACAGTTTCCGGTTGATTGGATTCGTTCAGCTGCGTGTACATGGTGGCTTTGACGGGGCTCTGTGGTGAATCCGTGGGCGATGGAGGAGTAGTAGGCGTTGAGGAAGTGGAGAACTGTACTGTGCCATTGCGTCTGCGGTACAGCCTCTCCTGAGCCTTCAGCAAAGGACGGACAAGACGTTTCTTGTACTGCTTGTATCCTGTTGATTGCTGTTCTCTCCTGAGACAAACCAGACATTTATTTCCAAATGTGCGAGTTCGGCTGCAGTCTTGTGCTATCAGTCCCGTAAGCGCAAAGCGGTTATGCAAAGCGATACTGCGTCGTCTGTATTTAAAAAAAATACAGAATATCATATAGTACATCGCTCATACACATATGGACAACACAATTGCACATGTATATGTTACAGAAATACATCTTTGACTCTATCTTTATAGATTATAATGTGGCTTTTTTCTTACTTTATCACATCTCGCTCGCGTAATTCTAATTGCAGTAGAATAGAGTTTAGTTCCAAGTACAGATTGTTAGTACGTTCGAGTTTACGCTCATAGTGTTCTCTGACATCCTGAGCGTGTCGCAATTCATCCTTCCTCCGTCGGATTAGCTCAGCCTCGAAACGTGGATCGGTATTAGTAAATAGTGGCATATGCTGCATGTGTTCCTGTATTTCCTTCTTCCAAGATTGCTGTAATGAAGAGAATTTCGCTATCTACGCATCTCTACGTACTCTGATTAATAATTGCACAAAGAACAATTCGTTATTTATTACTTATTTCGTTAGCCATTCGTTAAAACTGCTTCTTTGTTATATTAAAAATTTAGCAAATTGTTACTAGACTTTATTGTATGTAACGATCAAAAGAATAAATGAGAATTTTCAATGTGTTTATAAATAATATAAAATTAAGATAAATAAATTACATGATGTGATATAATAATACATTTTTAAAAATACATAATATATTTATACATGATATAAAATAGAAAAAACACTTTTGTATGTTTTGATTATTTAACAAACACTTTAGTACTGGATTATTATCATCTACTCAAGTAACTGAAATAAAATTTCTGAAAATTTGCATTATATCAAATGAGTGTCCCACCTGTGCTTTAAAATAATCTTCAGGTTCCGTGGAGAGTACATCAACAGCTGCAATAGCGAGGTGCATCTCGATGAGTTTGAAGGAAGGCCTGTTACGCGGTTTGGCTGACCAACACTGCTTAACCAGTAGCCCATATCCCTCCGGGCAACTGGTGGGAATTGGTAAATGAAGAGAATTGCTGCCCACTCCCCACATAACAGCGGAGGAATCTACATCCTTGTAAGGTATCTCGCCGCTCAGTAATTCCCATAGTACAACCCCGTACGACCATATGTCTACCTTCTCCGAGCATAGCTCGTTCCTGATTACCTCCGGCGCCATCCACGCCACCGTACCAGCGAAAGTCATTTTCGTGCTAATTTCATTCCACTGTCTACTCGTGCCGAAATCACTGATCTTTACTACTTCCCCTTGTCCTATTAGAACACTACAAATACAATAATTTTCTTGTTATTCTACAATTATTATAGATTTTGGATGTATTTTATTAAAAAAAATTATTTTATTTCAATTAAATTTTATAGTTTATCTCATATATAGATTTATCAAACCATACTCCATGCATGAATTATTTAGCTAATTTCAATTTTTGAATCAATCAAATTGGAATAAAAAATTGGAATCAAGCAAAAATGTTTATAACTATTATTTACTTCGAATAGTGCTTTTATCCATTTTATTGTTTACTTACTTTGGACTTTTGAGATCTCTGTGTATGATTTTGTGAGCATGAAGATACGCCATCCCCGCAGCTATCTGTTTTGACCATGACACCAATCTAGCAGGAGGAACCGGTTCTCCAGCTCTTAGAAGGTCATATAATGGCCCGAACGGACAAAACTCCATTATTATGCAATAGCAAGGAGGTTTTGTACACACTCCTCTGTAAACATCAGATGAGCGTTTGACGATAAACATTTTGTAATGTGACTTCTATAATATCTTAATATTATAGAAAAAATAGTGAGCCTTACTTAAAGTGCACAATATTCGGATGATTGAGTTTCCGTAAATGGCGTATGTCAGTCTCTTTCGGTTCCTTCACCTTTTTCACAGCTACTATTTCCTTATTTAATTTTCCACTAAATACTGCACCTTGAGCCCCAGATCCGAGCCATTGCAGCTCGCTGATTGCTTCGAAGGGTATCTCCCAATCGTCAGCTAAAACAGGCAGTTCGTATAAATAGCTGCGCTAAACGTAACTTAGAAAAATCTTTTCAAAACGACAACTATTTCAGGCATTCAAAGCAAGAGATTACGCTCATATGCATAAATCCTATTTTAAGTACATGATTGTATCTAAAACTAATCTTGAAAAGAACAGATTTAATCTATTGTTACTTCGAATATACACCCCTTCTAAGACAGTCGTAAAGAAGGAGGATTATAACGATTATGTTTTGCCATTAATTTTTACTGCACGTAAAATATAAAGATTTATACAAAAGATATGATATAAAATATAAAGATTTTATACAAAACATTGAAGCAATTTTTGGCACACTGCAACTTAATTTAAAAAGAGGGGAGAAAAATAATAGGAGAAAAAAGCCAATGGAAACTTACATAACTTACTTGAAAATCCCTTGATTTTATCATTAATAGCGGCCTTCGATAACATGGTCCAAACGGGACGCATGCATCCCAGAATGCCCTCGACCCAACTCGATCGTTGAGAATCGATGCTTTCCGATCCGGGAGCGCATTTTGTCGCGGCGTCGCTGGAGTTACTCGCGGAATTGAGATGATTACTATTCGGCAATTGAACCTCACGCAGCTCGGTGATTAGCCGTTCGGGGCTTCCCGCGATTTCACTCAGCTGAGCCAGCTCCTCTTGGATACACAGCATGCTGAAATTTTGTATATAGAGATTACAGATTTTCGATAATACCTGACGCAAGTTGTACATACGCTATCGCAATGTACATTTATCGCAATACGTTACGGCAATGTCCGAAATAAAAGTACAAATATCGAGAACAACAGATTCAAATTAACCGATGATACTATTCCAATGTATTATGCATAAAAGCACGTGCGTTCGCAAACAGGTAATAAAACTCACGATTCAAGAGTATGTTACTAATTACGAAATTAATTACATGTTCACGTATGCTTTGTTCCTCGATACGCACTCTTTGAATATTCAAAGATGAATAGGATTACTGTAAATATAGTGTTCGTAACAACGCACGAATCTTATCTTTGCTGCATATTGTACTTTGTTTCGTTATATATAGAATTTATGTAAGTATTATTCGTACGTATTTTACCAAACGCAGAAAAGATTTGCGAAGCAATGTTTGATTGTGAATGCAGCCGTTCACCATAAAGAGAAGAATATCATATGCGAGACATTAGATGTTTATAAATTTCAATTATTCAATTTATGATAAATGATTTTAAATAATGTATTTTCTCTCTTTAATTAAAAATTTGTACACATTTTATAAAATTAAAGATATATATAAAAATTCTTTTTCTTTCCCTTTATGGATTTTCTTCTCTTTTCATTTACTTTCTTAATCTTTTGTTTCTTTTAGCGGAACCATTTTTGAATCGTGCAGTGTAATATAGCAGAAGAGCCTTCCTATCGCAAAGTAATCGATCCAAGACCTGATGCAAGTTGCATTGAGAATCACCCGCAAAAAAAAACCAATCGAAAATTGCACATAATTATCTTTGTGCGGTCCGATGAACGATAAGAACGACGCATGTGTGCCGCACGTCACGCCGGCGATAGCAATCGCCGGATGGTCTCAATATTGACAGATTTTCGATCACATGGAGATCAGAATCTAAAGAGATCCCAAATTAAGCTGCGTCCATAAGTCTTAAAATGCCAAATAAATCTGCCACCGTCAATACTGATGCATTTAGCATTGTTCAATACAGAATCCGTATTTAATTGAAACCATTTAGTTTCTCTGAACTATCAATGCTTAAGATATGAGGATTGATATTGATTTGGCTATAGCAATAGAGCTGTAGCAATGTCTTTGCTGTAGTTATATCATTGTCTTAAGATAAAAAGCAATTTTAAGTAGAGAAAGAGAACTTGCGTATATTATTCTTGATATATTATTCTAACTCTCCATTTTTAACGTATAAACGATGTCGATAATATTAAAACTGTCGAATCGTTATTGGAATTCTGACATATCTCGCACGTCAATTATCAGCTGACCGAAGACGACTATGTCTTAACGATAACAAATAAAACACGTAGACTCATAATAGTCTATTTTTAAACACAATGGTCACAGAGTGACATCTGATATCACCTTGATATTATTTTTATAAACTTTAAAACATCTATCAATTAAGACATTCGCTGTAACATATTAAATACTTGTAAAACAATAGTACAATTTCATTTTTCTTTATGTTATTTATGGTATTAATTAATTTGGCGTCGTTCCTATTTTTTCTTCGAAAATTCACTTTATCTGCTTCTTCTTTCTGCTTCGAAGACTGTCAAAAGATGATATTGTAGCGATAACAATCGCAATGCCTCGCTCGCAGACGTCTTTTCAAGGCTACACGTGGCAAAAGATTTGCGTTTGTGTCAATGACTTTTTACGGGTGACCGGCTAAGTGGTGGACATATTTATCTACGTTTCTCTCCTTTTCTCTCTTTCTCGGTTAATACGAGCCTATCTGGCAAGTGCGAGAAAGCGCGTTACTCCAGATTGGACATCAGCATCTATAGAAGTATTTATAGAATTATTTATAGAAGTAACACAAATTGCTCAATTAAATAATATTTTTAATAACAGATTCTTTGATCAATTGCTTTTTTCTCTTACTAAAATATTAATACTAAAAGCTTTTTAGTTAAAGATAAAAGCATTTTTCTAAAAAATAAATTTTAGAGTTTTGTTATGTTCGCAAAGATAAAAACAAATGAGCAGTCTCTAGTATTTTTATCAATAATATCTTATTTTTCCAGAATTTAATTATCTAGATGCATCATATAATAAAAATATATATTAAAGAGTAAAAGATTTCTCGAAAGTTTCTACGAAGAAAATAAACAATAAATTTATTAAAAAATTTCTCGACATTGAGATTATCAATCGTTTTGTGTATGTATTGTGCATTGATGTCGCATCGCGGAGACACGAAATGTCACGCCCACTATAATTTCGATTGATACGATGCAACTTTTCATGCGCATTGCGAAGATTAATATTACCGGCTCTGATAACATGGTGCCGTGTTATCGGGCGTTTTACTCATTATGAGAGCGCAACACAAAAATCTTTGAACGGAATGCAACAAAAGTGGCATGCAACGCGGATATCGATCGCGCTCTTTACGTCGCAGCTGCATACAGACATATATACATATAGATACATGTTTCTAAATTTAATTCTCGACTGATAGTACAAGTCATGCTCTACTAAGTTCTTTAGCGTCTCACGGACAGATTCTTTCAATTCGGGGAAAACCAAATTGATTAAAATATATGTTAGTGTAGCTATGAAGAAAAAAAAATCTATAAAAATGACATGATTGATCACTTCCTTGAGTTACCCGAACGGTGTCACTCTTCTGTCGCAATATAAAAATGCGATAAAAAGTACTTGATAAATGACGTTATTATATAAATACATACTTCCGTAGAGAATATCCTTTACTTTAAGTACTATAATCAATTAATATTAAATTGCATGTAATGTGGCATTAAATTATAAATAAAGCTCCCGAAAGAAAATTCTTCACTTTTCAAATACTTATCAAGTAAACGCACAAAACAACAGAGTTTCAAACAATCTTCTAGTAATAACATTTGCCGTTGCTCTTCACCTTTGTCCATATGAAATAATATTTGTGTGTCGTAGATATATTTATTTAAGTATGTAAAGTACATATACGTATCTTTATCCGTTCCAGATTGAGCGGTATTATTTGCGGTCATATACACAATAAACATGTATTCAGATGTTCTCCATACTTTGAATCCCCATTTCTTAATATCCTTATTTTACATGTATTAAAATGTTAATAAAACGTCTAGTAAATGTTTGATTAGTCTTGGATTATTGCGATGTAATGGAAAAAACGCTTGCCGTTAACTTGAAGCTAAAACCGTTAGATAACGGAACTTTGCTTATTGTAATTAATTAAAGCTAAATAAGAAAAAACAAATTTTTAATTCTTTCTTTCGAGCTAGTTCAAACTATATTTTCTTAAACGAGAGTTTAGGTAAAATTTCATCTAAAGAGTATATGAATTCTTTAAAAATAATCTAAAATAAAATAAAAAGGACAAAAAGGAGATTCTTCGTTTTCTTTTTACGACATAAAGCTAACTTTTCAAAATTTCACTAACAATAAGATTTTACAATGATTTCTAACGTACGTGAAACGATACCTAAAAAGAAAAGCAGGAATTTCGTGCGCGTGCGAAAGGAATTGCATAAACAAGCCGGTGTGTTGTGTTTAAACTAGTGTTATCGCTGTTGATTTTATCGATAACCGATACCAGCACGCGGGAAAACATGCCGAGTGCGCGGCAATTTTATCCAAATTTATATGTAAGTAGAATTAGAAATCTAAAGATGCTTATTCACTTTTGTTTGAAAACATGGGGTTTTTAAATTAATTTTTTTTTTATTTTATCGCTGAAGATATGATGGCCCAAAGTGAAACGGAAACATCCGGTTCTGTACGTATGTATATTATATCTAATCAAACAACAATGTACACCCACGATTCACGTATTAACAACCGCATTACTCTCACTGCCCTTTATTTTGCTCAAATTTTATGTTCTATTGAGGGTCTAAAAGAAGTTTAATTTCTGAGTGTTAACGCCGACGCGTCTGGAAGAACGGGCTGTCGATCGCGTGGAAAAATATCAAAATAGTGCCGATACATAGGCCGACTGTGTATTTTCACGCCGACGCGACGTTATCACATCGCATGCTCAAACGATGACAGTGTCGCTTGTTATACATATTATCGCTTCATATATCGTGGAATGTTAGTCGCATTCATTAGATACATTAATACTGCTCCGGCTAAAAGTCTGGTCAGTAATTTTGATCAATAGTAAATTCTCCGTGCGAATATGTAACGAACTGAACTAAAAAAAAAAAAAGAACGCATTGCGAGGAAAAAGAAATTTTTTTCGAGAAGAAGATTGTAAAACGTTTCGGATAAGACACAAATTTTTTAATACGGATAGAGTTTGACTTTGAGACAAATTGATAAGAAATAAATCATTTTTTGAACGATAATATGATAAGTTAGCGATTAAAGGTAAAGTTCGATTTAAAATTTTTATTTCTCGATGAAATACGAATAAGTCGTCACGCTAATACACCTGTGCATTTTTAATACGCCCGAATGTGAGTTCGTAGAAAAGTGAGCTTGGGAAGTGAGAGTGGCCTTGGAAGCACGAATGGCAGTGCCCTTGACAGAGAATCGGCGGCGGCGGCTCGAGATAAAACGATTGTCTTCGGGACAGCCTTCTCTTATCGTCCTTCTCCCGCGAATACGTAAGAAGCCGGGCGTAAATGTACATGGCAAGAGCCGACACGCCGCATAACGAGCGAGTCGTGTACGTGCATGCATAGTACGTGCATGCACGCTTGCCGGAGTTGCCGTGGCCTTCGTATCAGCTGTCTGCTGGCGTCACTCAATGAGGGCCGTGCTGGTCGCCGTAAACAAATACGCCAGACTAACGGCGGACTGACCGCGGATTCTTTACATGATTAGTTATATTACGCGTTATATTATACCACAACATTAGTTATATTGCGGTACCTGCGGTATATCTACACCTCTTGGTTTCTTTTCAACTTTACATTGTATTTTATTTGCTACGTATTTATTGAGTTAATTTGAATACGTTATTATTAATATTATTTCACGTGTAATAGTAAGTGATCGTCGATTGAGCATGTCGTATGATAACGTCGTGAACATTTAAGCCGTCTATATATTCGTTCGTTTCATATTCCTTTAATTATTCTGAATTACATATATTTCTATATAAATCGTTTTGTCTTTGTACCTGTATTAATCTGTTGATACATTCGAAAGAGATTGTTGCATCATAATGTATTTGAGATACATATAGAATCCTAATTATTTATGTTTATAGCAATGCATCTATATAGCGAGGATGTGTTCTTTATGAAAAACGATAGAATGTAATTATATCTGAAACCCATCAATCGCGTTTAAATTCGATTTCTAAAAAAAATGGAGTAACAGCAACTTTCTATGTCATTTACTGTTTCGTAAAAATTGCGATTTCACCATTGACTCGACGATACGAAAGGAGATATTTTTAACGCATTAGAAACATATATATATATATACATATATACATATAACGTTGGTTGTTTGTGCAAGCGACGTATCTCTATAGCATAATTATAACTCTACTAGTAGAACAAGACGTTACAGAAATTGACGCAGCATCAAACCTCGATTTTTCATTAAAAGAGAATGTCGCAGCCAAGCATCTGTTGCCCCGCATCACAGCGCTAGAATATTATTCCGTCTTTTTCAAACAACTTCCTGAACTGATGCACATGCACCAACATTGGTGCAATAAGTTAGAGTGAAACAAACTAGTATTCATCAATTCAGAAAGTTCTTCGAAAGAAAAAAAACAAACCTACACTGATACGTCCGAGATGCAAGTTTCAAAAGATGAGAACCCCTTCTTTTACGAGTATCTGCGCTTTCCAATACCGCTCTTCTTTAGAGATTTATGTGGTAACAACGCAGCAACTCCAGTTAGAAATTTCACGTCTCGTCTCTCATGACATCAAGACGATCGATGTATATCTCGGAGCAGACAGGTTCTATTATTTTCTTTTCTTAACGTATACGTTAAGAAAATACGTTAATAACTTACTACGGAATTATCATTTTTAACATTACTTCCTGGCGGAGCGCGACGTTCGTGTGTGAAACACAAGGGATTACGTCGGCTTGGAATTTCTCGATTGTCTCTGTCTGACGACCGATAACGAAACGACGCGCCGCGTCGGGCGAGAGGAGTTGTCGATGGAGCCGCTATCGCGAGCGCATTCCGAAGACCCGGTGCGAGTTTCACGGGATCCGCTATCGTGAAGCGCGTTACAAAGGCACCCGGGCGACACTCGCCTCACCTCTTCGTCGTAGCGCTGGCCACATCGTCGGGTACTATCGTAACGGCGGTGGGGTCGCCGGCGGCAACGTCGTCGTTCTGCGTCGCTGGCTTCTTGCTGATGAGGAAAAAACGCGTGAGGCCCATCGCGTCGCGTACAGCACATGGACGTAGGTAGGTACAACGGGAGCACTGTTACAACGCAGCCGGCGAGAAACTAGCGTCGTCGTCGTCGTCGTCACGTCGCACCACCGACCACCGATCGCGTTTCGGATCCGAGAGCGACACACACGGCACTCACGCACGAAATGTATCCCACTTTACTGGCGAACGGAGACTACTACCCAGATAACCAACCGCGCGATATATACCACGACGCGACGTGGTAGACGTGGAGCAGCACGTCTTCTTTAATCTTTGTTTTCCTCTCTGTCTTTCTTTTCCCTCTCTCTTTCTTCTCCTTCTTCCTCTCTCGTTCCTCTCTTTCTCTCTCGACTTATCTGCTGCTCCAACATCACCGTCACATGCTATCGACAGCGCTCGCTCGCTCGCTCGTTTGCGACGCAATGCGCGAGCAGAGATAATGCGACCCGCGCTATTTCAAATTCACAGATATATAATAAAAAATATCTATCAACTTTTACATCCTTTATACACCGATAACAGTCATCAGATCGCGTTCTGTGATAAACTTAGCGGCAATATATCGACTCGATTCCCCAAAACTATTTATTATAATTTATTTTTTTTAATAAAAAAAAGTGTGCATAATATAAGAACACGAAAATATGGTCAATATTCACTAATATTCGACCGATGTGCGTTGATACAAGGCATTAATTGTTAATATTGTTAAAATTGAAATACCTTATCAAATGTTAAATAATTGAATTAATAGTTAATTAATAATGAGATAAATATTGTAATAACTAATAATAGTTAATCAACAATTAAATAATAATGCTTTATTATTACTTGCGTACAGCATGCTATTTTGTATTTGTATAAGGAAAGAATTAAAAAATAGAAAAAGACAAAGAAATGATAAAACTAGCAATGTTACTTCCAACATAAGAATGAATAAAATACCGAATAATTAAAATTTAACTTGAAACTGTTTACAGTTATTACTATTATATAAACATCGCATTATATGTATAAGTATTTAATAATGCAACCTATGACACCTCAATAATAATTGCAAGTAATAAATTCAATGTAGAAATATGTGATTGCATAAAACCGAATTATGAAAATTTTCTTTCCTCTTACAAGAGAAATGTTTTCCGCTACGTTGACGGATGAATTGCTGTATCGAAAGAGCCAAAAGTGCTACTTTACTTCTTATCTGTTTCTTACTATTCTTTCTTATCTTTTCTTCCTTTCTTGTCTTTTGTTTGTTTTCGTCTTTCCGATATTACCGCTAAATCATCGTTTCGATCAAACGCATCGGTATTATTAAAATCTTATCAAGATTTAAGATTTAACAAGAAGAAGAGGGAATTACCTGTTAGTAAATATATGAGCCTCTGGATGGGGAGACGATAAGACCACTCCGCTCACGTCCGCGGACGTCCCCGTTTCCTCGGTTTCCAAGTTGTACATTTCGGGTTGGGCCAGAGTCTCGGTCTCAGCAGGGGTGCGCATTCTCGCCTAAGTGCCAGATTATTGACAGACCTGAAACGAAGCGTTTCAATTTCGTTACTTTTAATCATTAGCCCTAACGGATCTGCATGAATAGCGTGTAACAATAATGCGAGAAATAAACAAAATAATTATTTAATAAATTTCGAAGCAATTAGCTCTACCTTGATCAATAGAAATTAAATTTACAAAAAGACGATTCTACGTATTTCTATTAATGATTTAATATTTTATTCGCAGAGTCTAGAAGAATAAGTGATTATATTCCTTTACAGACCAACACAATCGAATAGTCTTTATTAAATACGCTTAAATACAAGAAGCTCGGCTACTTTAATCGAGCACAATAATGATGCAAAATACGATTTTATTTTTACGTACATGTTATGTATGAAATTTATGGCGATTAAAGATTTAGTTTCGTTCCGATTATACTGATTATTTTATTCAACGCTTAGCTATATGTTAAAGAGCATCCGCTGATTGTCTGTTACCACGTTGGAATGGGCGAACACAAAAAGAGAGGAATAAGAAATCACTTTTGGCGTAATATCTACTGGAGGGAGGCAGCCGGATTCAATGGAATGCCGATCTAGTAAGAGGTGTGGTATTTGCCCGTCCGCATACCGAACCTTAGCATATGTTTTATTTTATTTTGCGTACAGATTCTTTAAGCCCCGGGTCTGACCACGTTATTCAGACATCTTTCAACAGTTAGATACTCTCTCAAAATAATAGAGAGTTCTGTGAGAATAAGTCGAAGGAAATTTATGAATGCAAGTAAAAAGTCAACTGGACACAGTCATTATCATTGTCAGATAAACAACAAATTCAGTTTCTTTCTAATAGGACTCACAATCAGACAAAAGATTCGAATGTATTGTGCGAGCCAACTTCTCGCGAAGTAATTCTCATTACAAAGAAAACCGCCCTTTATTCGTTTCTCGAATCATGATTAAAATTAAAAAAGATTATTTAAAAACAAATTGCAAATTTAATTAAATTTAATTAAATTTAAAATATAAGTCGATAATAATGTAATAATGTAATAAGTAAGAGGGTAAATTATGCAGGTAATATTTGCTCCACGCACATCCCTCATACAAAAGGCTGAAAAAAGAAACCAGGAACTCCTTCCAGAATGAGTCACGCCACTCACGCCTAGGTGTGCCCTACGATTAATCCCGTGCACCTGGATCGAAGTCTTGCCAAGTTCCGAGTTATTTGAACCTGAAACCGCTGTTGACTCTAGCACGCGCATGCGAATATCCCTTTTCAATATCACCCTCGAAAGTATAGAAAATTCGTTCGTTCTTTCTAAATTACTTGGTTATTATATTATTCGTTTAATATTTTGTCTTGTACTCAGTTTTTTAGATACATAAATATTTTTTACAAGAATGTTAATTTTATGTTGTGCGTGTGTGTAATAAAAATTGATGTCAGACATAATTAATAGCCCTTCAGGATATATTATAATTACATTTTACTGATAGCAAGATAATTATTTTGTATTATTTTGATTATATAATAATAAATAATTATATAGATAACAATTTGCGAAAACATATCCTTGATATATACATATAATTCAAGTCGTGGATATACGAATACTTGAAACAAAAACATTAAATAAAGGTTTCATGAATTTAAAGTGGAAATTTGAAGCTGCGTGAGGATCCTATTATTGTATTGAGGGAGTAAACAGCCTGGTTACGCTCGAAGGATTGCCTCTTTGCCTGAGAAATATAAATTTGAATGAGAAGGGTGTACACCCTCTGTTCTAATTCTATGCACCCTGTGCGCATAAACGTAAATTGCAATTTCGATCAGATATAACTCACATACGGCCATCTGACAGAAATAGCAGCGAATGGTCGAATGGTGGCATCGCATATGTTAGTTTACTCACGTGACTTGTCTACAATATACAATCGTGTTATACTTTCTAAAAAAAACCAACGAAGATCGAGAATTTCTCAGTTTATTTCTCGCGTATACGTATAAATTTTATATTTTAATAATTAATTACAGAACGACTTGAATAATAGTGCCAATTTTTATCGCTCATGTAACGATAATGATAAAAAAAGCATATTAGATTTCTATGAAAGAAAATGATCGTAAGTTACAGTTTCATGTTAATTGTTCTGCTTTGAGAATCACTGACGCTAAAAGACCTGTTCCAAAAGATTAGGGCAAAAAATAACACAGCGGAGTTTTTCTTACAAGTGTGTTCTGAACAGGTAACACGCCCATGCTTCTCGGAGGCTACGCATCAGAAATTAGAGTCCCTTATTTAATTTCAAATGTGTCACTTTTTTTAAATTGCAATTTGAAGAGTAGAAAGGAAATATTTCTTTGTGAGAAATTAAAAACTTACGACAAAATGTAATAGTCTCTTCTCGAATATTTTCGGTAAAGAAGAAGCTACACAAAGAATCTGTCAAACAAAGACTCTTCGCTGGTCGAAGAATCTGTAAAATCGGGACTCTTCGTTGGTAACACCCTGTATAAAAGAAACGTCACGAAATTCTTCATAGGGAGACCCGCATAAAACATCCCCGAATACGTTTCCTCCAGTCTGCCATACAGTCTACCGCCACAAGTATTATTACTTTTTGCGGATACGCGTCGTGAAAGCGATTGGGAGGCACTGTCGTGGTGGGAGGGGAGAGGGGAACGCAAACTCGTGCGAAGCATCGCGTGTGCGAATTGACCTGCGCAGACAAAAGCAAACCTGTTCTCGAGGGTCGTGACGACGCGAGCATTTCGTCCCTCGGGGACGAAAATGGCAAGGGTGGAGAAAATGAAAATCCATTTCCAGCGTCGTTAAATAGGTGTAACGCCACGAGCGTGAACGAACGGCCGATCGAAGCCGTTCTCATGCGTCATTCGCGCGAACGAGCTCTGCTCGTATAGGTACCAGTTCGTAACCACGGGTCTTGATCGATCAAGCAAGTTCTTATTTAGCTCTTTGCTACGTAATTACAGTCCATTTCCTTTTATGTGTAGAACCTGATTTTGATCAAAAGTCTCTCGCACAGCTTCGTTGAATGACATTTCAACATTGTTATGCGGCGTAGAACCAATTTCAAAAAGCGGTCTTTTTTATGTTTTTAAAGGAATGTCTCAAAGAAAATCTCGACTTGGAGATATTTCATAAAAAAAAAAATAATTATTGTATCTCCTCTCTTCTACTAAATTTATATTTTTTTCTTATTTTATCTCTTCTAAATCTCTTCCTAAATGTTTTTTTCCAGCTCTAATTAATAAAAAATAAATTTCAAGTAAATTAAAAAGTTAAATGTAAAATTATAAAATTAAATATAACTATAAGATTATATTTTTTCAGAAAAAATGTAACAACTTGGAAAAGAAAGTTTGTGATGTATTTCTATTTTGAGAAATTAGAAATACATTAGAAACATATTAAAACATTTTAGGTACTTCACTATAGGTACGTGACATAAAAAGATATTACTTTGGCTTCTCGAAATCGTATAGTCTCAAATATTTGTTGATTTCCTAGTTAACAATGAAATAAGCAAAGAAATCGATCGAACAAAAAGTTCTAAATACGGATCGCAATTATGTTCGTGCAATGAAACGTGCCTCGAATCCGTGTATAAATAGAAAAAGAAAATGAGGGTAAATTCTAAAAATATATACTCAGGCGTATTCGAAGATCCTATCGTCCGTGTTTGTCTGGCATACGCTATCGATCGCACACGAACTCGCTACGTATGAATGAAGCCGCCCCTTGGCGTCTCGTATCGCGTAAATAAACACATGAATCGTGGCGATGCCGGATCTTTAAAGGATAGTTTACGCACGCTTCTCCGCCGCCGCCGCATCCTAGCATTGAAATCACCACCCGATAATGGCCAGTGATTGCAACGCTGTCCACGATACCCCGCGGCTAATCAACGTACCGATTCACTAACCCTGAATATAAGTAAAATAGAATGGTTTTTAGAGTTACGAGAGTGGGGCTATCGTGGCGCAGAGGAGAGATGTACGCTGGTCTAGTGAGCCGGAGAACCGAGTTCAAATCCGACCAAAGACGATTTTGTCAAATTTCGATCGCCACCTCTCGGATGTCAGATGGGGATGGCAACCCACTGGAGAGTGTATTGCTTGCCTAGCTCTCTATATTTAGAGAGAGTCCCCAGGTTGGGGCAATGAAAAAGGCGTATGTGTTAATTATGCTATACCAAGTGTTCTTGTAGCATTGCAAAATTAGAAAAATTAGAAAAATGATGTGTAATATCTACTATTAGATTCAATCATTCAATTGATTGATGAAATAAATCTTCATTTGATTTCATTGATCACTGAATGATTTCTTCTAATAATAGATATCACACCATTTTTCTAATTTTTCTAATTTGATATAAAAATTGGTGTGTCAATTGTTCTATTAAAATCAATTTTGCAATGCTACAAGAACGCTTTCTCTAAATTATGCTACTTATTATATATACGCCATTGCATTCTATGAAAAATGCTGCTTGCATAAATTTAATAATAACTCTATCTCGTGATCACTGCTTTAAGTGTCAGGTTTCGTCGAACCCAGTGTTTTTTCCGATTGTTAAAGGTTATCAGTATGTTACTTTTGAATTAGAGATAATTAGCTATTTAATATCTTATCGCTAGTTTGATGCTATCGGGGCTCGGTTTGAAAACTTATACTGGCATTAAATGCACTGCGACGACTGCGACACTATTCCTTAATGTTTCCTTTAGTGCAAGATCAATTTTCTTTAGTATAATAGTCAAGTAAAATTGCGTTTTTTATTCTTTAATTTGTCTTACGTTTCAGCTTAAACATCATCATATTCCTCTGTATTACATAATCCTATGAAGATTAAAGATTCCTGGAAGAAAACAGGACATTCCGGTATGCGTAATAAAATTTTTTCCTGGTCTGTGATTTACATAAATTAAACAGTTATTTTAATTCCATCGGAATTTTCTATCGGAACGAACGGAGCTGAGCTGGGATATATTAATAAGCATCAATAGTGCATAATCTCTTAAGAATTCAATATTCGTCGCGCCGCCACTTAAATCTCAAATCGCTGGAACAGAATCACCCCCGCAGTGGTGAAAGGGTTGATCGACGTATTAAATTCGTATTACGTAAAGAAACAAACTACAGATAAGATCAGAGAAATAATTGCGCGATCTACAAAAACGATTTAACTGTAACAACTAAACTGTAACATTTTATAAGAACATAAAAGAGAAGTGGACAACATTTATGACATGACGGTTCGTCACGATGTAATAAAGTCTTATAATTGCTTCGTTCGAAACTTGGATTCTGTAAAATTATAAATACACGTTTGCACCACGTAAGAAACCATTTCTTTTGCGTTTCATAGCATTTTCATGCGAGACGGGACTTGAAAAGAAAAGAAATCGGCTGAATCGAGAGAGATACGAATGAAGATAAAAATCGCAATCTTTCGGAAAGGAGAACGCAACTACGAAAAGCAAACGATGCGATTGGATTTCTCCTTCCTGGATTTATTCGGTTTAATTTCCTCCTCGCTGCCCCGAGGGAGACGCGTCGTTTCACATCGCGACGACAAGTCCGTTTTAACCGCATCCCGTGCACCTCCAGCGAATCGGTTGCACGCACTAGTGCGCACCAAAGGTCATCGCACACAAATCGACACGAACGGAACGTTCGAAAGTGTCGCTGTATTATTTGACAGAATACTGGATAGTTTCGGTACCGAGGGCGCTTCCGCTATGCACTCTGACCTTTAACTCCCACATCACAAACGTCATTCTCTTGTATTAAAAAAAAATGTCGTGTTTACGGTAGAAATTTCGTACGAAAATGGTGGACTTCTTTTTAAAAAGTTTTCCGCTAAATGTCACAAAACTTTAAAAAAGTTTATTTATTCTCGTACGAAGTCTACTACAAACCACGACCTTTGACGTGGGAGTTAAAAAATGACGCTAATAAAAATGTGAAATGCCCGTGAAAATTCGCGTACGTTTGACACTTGATATCTGCGCATCAACGCGCGGTCCAGCTACAGATTCCTCGCGCATCTCTCACCGTCCTCCTCTCTGTCTCACCCTGAAAGAGCGAAACGTTACGTCTATACGTCTACGTTGTCCTGGACGCGGCAAACGCGAAAGACAGCCAGAAAACGGACGGTCCTTCGCGGCGATCGCGTCGATCGTGGCCGAGCGAGGTGAGCTTTCACTTTCCTCGATTTGCACAAGCGCGAGCGAGCGAGCGAGTCCGTCCGTCCGGTCGTTCTCGCCGCCGTCGCCATACGGACGATGCGAAAGCTCCCCTCGCGGCGCGCGATGGGGGATGAGCGGGCGCGCAAGTTCCTCCTACGCGGGAGAGGAAACGGGAAAGATGGATTGGAAGAGAGGACGCGCGCGCGCGCTTTATCGATCAGAACGACGCGCTACCCTCTCGGGCGACTCACCTGAACGCCGCTCGCCGTCGTCGCGACAACGGGAACGGTCGCTGCTATCCGCGGCGGAATCGCCGCCGTCGTCGCCATTCGCGCAACCCTTTTCTCTCCTCCTTTCCTTCTCGGCCGAGTGCCGGTCGCGACGCTACGTCCACCGTCGTCGTGACGGCTCGCCGCGAGCGCGATCCGGGAATCGGCTCTTCCTCGCCGCGCGGGACGTCTCCTTCGTCGAAGTCGTCGTTGTCACAGGCACGAACTGAGGAGACACGCAATACATATTACACCAGATCTCGCGAGGGAGTCCGAGCTTGGTCGCTCGCACACGCCGCGCGTGCCCGTTGCGCGTTATCGCCGCCGCTCCGGGCTCCGATTTAATCGCTCGCGCACAGCGTTAACAACCCCGCGACGGCGACACCCCGACGCGCGACGCGTTCGACGGACACTGGACAAAATGGCGCGCGTCATTGTCCCGCAACTCCGACGCCAGAGCGCGCCGAGTGCGGTTCGTAGGGTTGGAGTTTGGAGTAGCGGGGAGGGGAACGGGGCGAGCGGCCGCGGCCGCTCGCTTCACGCTTGCCGACCGCGACGTGACGTCACGCTGCGACGCGTGAGGTGCACGGACAACGGCGGCGGCGGCGGCCGGCGACGGAGAACGAACAGGTTCCTGTTCTCGGCCGAAACCACGCCTCCTCGGTATTCGAGTCGCGTCGATAGCGATCGCGACTATACGAGAATTGCTCTCTCGCGGCAACCTAGCCCGGAAGCGAGAACGTTTTTTCGAATATCTCGTATTGAGAGTCACGTCGCGCCGTTTCTCGCACCTTCCTGGCGACCCGGGTAACCCGGTATCCCATGTTCCCGCATCCTCCGCGCATTTTGTTTTGTAAAGAACCAAGAGATTGGATAAGATCGATAGAGAGAATTTATATTGTAATGTCTTTGACCTTTGCCATGCCTCTTACCGATCTTGCTTACGATTCGTATTTTTTTATCTATGAAATTATATTTCTATCTATTTTTTTAAGAAATACTATTTTCATTCCTTGTTTAAATTATCATGCTGAAGAAGACTTAATACAGTCGTCTCGACTTATTTTGTCTACGATTGGACAAATATAGGATAAATTAACGGCAACATCCTTTACTGCTCGTTACATTGGCCTAAAACTTTCCCATATTAAAATTGTAATTATTATATGAAAAAATATACGAAAGAAAAAATGAAGACGATCAAGTATTCTCGCTTTTGAAGCGTTATTTTCTGTGGGCTACGCCGTTCATAAAGTACAATAATGAATTGGAAACTATACTTAAAAAATATACTTTGTGCGAATTTTGACAATTAAAAATCACATTGTAATTTCAAAGCGACAGTTGCGTTGAAGTTGATTTTTACATGAAAGTACATTTTGATTGTTTAATTACCTAATTGAATTGCATTAATATTATAAATGTTATTTTATTCAAAGTCATCAAAGAGACGATAACAATAATTTCATCTTTGTTCTGATTTCGCCACGATGATTTCGCGAAGACGATGGCCTCTCCATTGTACGAAAAAATTTCAGATTATGAACGTGATCCACGCACACGTTTGCTTCGCGGGACGAAAACACGCGAATATACTTCGGGATATGAGATTGAATCCCAGCTCATTCGTCGCCAAGATTCCGTCGCGTCGTCCTTTGGATCGTTTCTGAGTTGGCGTGGTAGGAGGGTGACGAAATGACGAGCAGCGATTCCTGGAAACGACTTTTCTCCTTTCCAAGAAACGGGGTGGTCGGGCCGAAAGGCGCGCGCACCCTGCGCGGAAGATCTTTTACCAATATACATATGTATATACATATATAGATATAGATATATAGATAGAAGGGACGCAATTGCGCAATTCTGAAGAGCGTGATAATCAAGGGAAGGGAGACACACGTCATGTCGTTCCTTCATATGACTGGCTTCCTCTCATCTCACGTCTTCTTCGGTAATCACAGCCCTTCCTTCTATCGACGCTCGCCCTCCCCTTTTCTCTGTCATTTCTTTTTGGTCAGAAATTTATTGTGTCCGTAGCCGCAACCTGGTCGATTCCCAAATGACGTCACAATCACTGGCGTCCATCCCTTATCTCGTAGTAACCGTGACCGTGATATTCAAGGTCTCGCGTAAGCGCCTACGCGGCACGCGCTACTCGGAAAAAGACGAAAAAGTGTAGGAAAGACGAAAGAGAAAGAGAATGAGTTCGGAAATAAATCTACGTCCAAGAAAAATATTAAGAGAAACTCGTTTTTTCTTATTCTGCGAAGCTTCAGAATAATTTTTGCGCATTTTCAAGACCATGTCGTCAAGATTCAAGACGATAGATAAATGTCGATCGCGTATTAGTCAATATTAAAATTTGTACATAAACTTGATATATTTAGACGCTCAATATATTTTCAACAATCTTTACTTAAAAAATATATTATTTATACAAAATAACAGAGATTTATAGTAAGTTATCGAACGCTACTGCATCATACTTTCAAGTAATTATATCTAGGCACTTTAAAATTCTACTTAGTTCCGTAAAATATTCCGCAATGTTTTCCTATAACGATATAAACACATTAATTTAACAATTTTGGATTCATTTTTTCTGCTTCTTATATAGGTATAGATATATATTGGCGTTTATATTAGATATCTTTTTCGAACATAAAATCACGCATAAGAAAAATCAGTTTTTATTGCGGCTTTTTAAGTTTTTATATTCCTGCGCTACGTTTTCTACTTTGGCGAAAGCTTGCAAAAAATCATCGTCCTCCAAACCAAATTGTTTATACTGATGCAAGAAAGCCGCGCATTTGTAAGAGCCCCACGCTTTGTCTAGATATACGTCCAATGGTCGGTGTATCTCCGAATTATTGCTGACCAACGCCAGGAACTTGTCTCCATTCAGAAACCTACGTTCTTGATGCAAATGGGTAAAAGAATTCAGGATAGTCCACTCCGGATACAGATGTCTTCTCTGCAAATCTTCCAATGCTACAACATCATTCTCCACAGATTTGCCACGAGTTATGAGAACATTGGACACGCAAGGACTATATACATAAGACATTGCTGCTTTGTTTAACTTGGGATTTGGTGCCTTTAATTGGGCATTCGTTAATTCAGCTTGTGACTTTGATACTCGAAGAGTCTGCTTCAAATGACGTATATACACCTCCCATTTCTGCGTGGGTTCATACTGCAGAGACGTCACGGGGGTATGCGGAGTACTCTTGACCGTTACAAATCTAAAATTGGGATGAGCGGCTATTTTGGATATTAAAAAATTCGCGTTGCACCTCGCATTGCTGGTAGGTTGAAAAACGGCGAGCAGATTTTCTGAAATGATGCTATTTATGTCACGCAACGTGGTGTTAGAATTCTTCAACAGATTGGTACACATAGAGTACGTCTGCTCGTTCTCGAATAACACGGAGACGTCTGCCCTGTCCGAGAACTTGGCTAGGGTCAGTACAGTGTTATAATTCTGGGTGCAAACTTCTCCGAAGGTGAACGGCAATACAATCGCGGCGACGATAGGCTGAGTTTCGTACTCCTCTCGCAGAAGCTCGACCATGCGGCTTCCTATACCGGATCCCGTGCCCCCGGCTGAGCTGAGAAGCAGAAGAAATCCCTGGGAACGATCTAACTTCTCAATCTCCTGTCGCGTGACGTTCAGCACAGCGTGCGACAGGCGTCGACTGTTTATCGTGTAGCCGTAGGCCCAGTTGTTGGCGGAACCGCCGCC